TCGTTTGCTATTTCCAGGTCTCGGCTGATTGGCGGTGTGTTTTGCCCGTGATCTGGTGTTAGGGCGTGTCGGTGTTGTTTGTTTGTTTTTTGGTGTTGTTTTATTGTTTGTTTGTGTCCTACGTCTACACAATCCAGTAGGAGAGCGAGGTGTGGGAGGTTTGGACAGAAACGAGTCGTCTAACTCTCCAGAACTATCCAGAAGGTGTATTGTTTGTTGTGTAGGAGTGTTTTTGGTTTGTGTGTTTGTTATTAAGGTTTGGGGTGTTGTTTGTGTTAGGAAAAGTGTAGGTGATGTTGTTGGTGTGGACTGTGTTGGTTTTGGCTGTGTTGGTGAGGTTTGTGTGGGTGTTGTTTGTGTCAGTTTATTTATGGGTGTGACTTGAGGTGCCGGGAACCCGTTTTGTTTGTTTATTAGGGCCCTGACTTTTTGTAGTGCTTGTCTGTCTGTGAGTGTTTGATCACGTGCTAACAGGACAATATTGCCGAGTAGCTCTGTGGTGACTAATACTCCGTGTTGTGTAGGTGTTATTTGTGAGTTAATGGTTGTAGTAGTGTTGGTGTGTTTGTTTGTGTTATTTTGCGGAGTGTTGTTTTGTACGACTGCCGAGTACAGTCGATTTGTTGTAGTTTTGTTGTAGGTGATTTGGGTTGTCGAGCACTGGGAATATTTTGGTTTTGTATGCTTTGTAGTAGGTTTTTGTTGTTTGCGTGGTACGTTGAATTTTGTTACTGGATATGTGATTTTGTTAAATTTGATTTCTTTAGGTAGAGTGTTTGAGTGAAATTCCAGTAGGATGGATGTAGTAGGTTGTTTGTCTTTGTTGTGCATCCTACTGGCTGTCTTGACATTGTTTATTTTGTTTAATGATGTTAATGACGTGTTGAGGGGGATCCGATAGATGACCCCCTTTGTTGTTGTGCGAGTTATTTTTTGTTTGCGTCTGGGTGGGGAGTTTGTATATGGCCGTTTAGATAGCCGTGTTGTACATGGTGTACCATCTATACATGCGATTTTCATCGCCTTTGTTATGCACATCGCTGTGGCGCAGAGAACTAATATGATACCTGATGGTAGCATCTTGACGTCCCTGACGTCACTGGTTACCCCTGTGTATTGGGATATGTCCCCGCGAACACGTCCCGCATGTAGTGGTTTTTTATCCCTAGGGGTCAGTATAACTACGGCGGGTTTGTTTGTGGTTGGGCCAGCCATGTTGTGTTTGTAGTTAGTTGACAGAGGGAAAAGGGTGAGAGGAATTCCTGTGGGGAGATCCTAATTAGTCTAGAATAAAAGGTCAGGTGTGTTACCTGGAGACGGAGCGACAGAGACCTTGATTGAGAAAAGAACGCGGTCAAGCGTGAAAGTGAGTGGTCTGGATAGCAGAGGTTGTGTAGTCAGGTGTGAAAGTGTGATATCTGGCCACGGAAAGACAATGGACAGGAACCAGATACAGTATTTCTTTTGTTTTTGGGGTTGGGATGGCACTTTATAAGGCCGTCTTAAAAATGGTCCGAAATGAATAGCCCGATAAGAAAATAGATAAAATAAAGGTTATATGTATCAGAGATATATAAAATATGAAATATTTTCTACAGAATTATAACTCTACCTAATACTGTTTGGACCTTCCTATTGTATTTGATATATAGCTGAATCTAGTTATAACTATAGTATCACTATAAAACTCCTTAAACAAGGTATCTAAAAAATAATAAATTATACAGACCAGGATACTATTTATTATCAGTTCCCGACGCTAAAATACGAGATAGCGACTAAATGATTAATAAGAAATCTTGAAAAGTACTTATCCTTCTGATGGATTTCTCGGGAACTCTGTTGTCTAATTAATCCTCGGTCTGCCGATAGAATTAACACATCAAAAAAAAAAAAAAAAGTCCACAGGAATTACACAATATATTCCAGAAGAATATATGGAATATATATATATAGAAAAGACTGTTGGTGAATGATGTAACCTAACACTATAACGTTGATGACAGGTAACAAGGGTACTCTAAGCCTGTAGGTAGGTGTCGACAGCTCGGGGGTCAGGAAATCGTGTGGTATCGAATGTTAATGAAGATACAGTCAAACAGAAACGTATATACATACGTCTCTGAGTCAAACTTCGATATTTCGAAGATCATGTGACTACCATAAACTTCGATACATCGAAATTTAGAATCACGCGTGGTGGGATTTATCGACGTTTTCATGTTCATGGCTATATATAGTTGATGACACGGTATTTCTACTTGAACAAACAAAACAAATATCAAAACACAAGTTTAAATGAAAAGACACACATTTATCTTTAAAGAAACCATTTTCATTCATGAAAAAATCATCGACGGGAAATTTATCTTTCATATCACAGTATATGTATTTTACGGATCGATTTTAAATGAAATGACGCGCAGTACTAAAGTGGGCTTCACATGTTACAGTAATCAGTTTAGGACTAATACATAAACTTTATAACCAATTATGAATTTAAAAGAAACCAAATTAATAGCATAATGCATTATATCAGAGACGTATGTGATATATACGCCACTGAAATCACACATCTTCGATCCAGAGACGTATATATCACATACGTATATATACGTCTCTGTTCGATCGTACAAATTACAAGAGTATTCTGACGACGGGTATGGACTAAGACCACAATTAATTTCACTATATGTTTCATTGTAACATTAAAATTCATAACTAAGTCCCAAAGTTTCATCTGCAAATTTCCATTTCACCTGGCCAAGATCAACATCTGAGAAGCAAAATGTAAAAGTTTCAACCCATCATGTTGGGCATTTTCTGGAGATATACCTCCATATGTGTCACCAACGTCAATTATATACATCCTGGTCAGGGGTAAAGGTGAAAACAGGACTTTTTACACCGGATCCTGCAGCACAAAATACATGTTCAATATGAATGATTTACACACTGACAGTTAGATTATCATCTCTATAACACATCTACATCAAATTTATAGGCAAAAATCTAATTCAAAGAGGCATATTATTTTTTTCCCTAACATACATACATTTTTTAGGGACTTCATTCGTGGGTACTGAACCCGGAAGTATTTAATTGTGGTCTTAGTCCGTATGTCGTTTATTTGCAACCTCTACCCAGAGTTGTCGTTCCTTGAGTGACTAATTAGTGCAATATTACTTCCTACTTTGTCTTGGTTTGCAGGACAATCTGCAAGGTTATTTGCAACCTCTATCCAGAGTTATCGTTCCTTATACCGAGTAACGGATGCAATATTACTTCGTACCTCTTTGTCTGGTTTGCGAGTGACAAATTGTAATGAACTCAGAATCATTAGCACATGTACACTACAGTGTCAAAGCAGAGACGTATGTATCACATGTGATATATACGTCTCTGGTCAAAGGTAAGACGAATTATATAATGATCTCAAGTATATTAAGTAAAGCATGGCAGTATAATGTATATGTGAAAACGAAAGTAAAATACATTTGTAAATTCTTTGAAAGATGCCGATGTAAACCTAGTTCAAACTTCTCATGTTGGGATGATTTGATATTGTTCAAATTTGGTCTGGATCATCCTTGGGGAAGATAAAACAATGCATAAACGATGGGTCTTGTCCCCATTTGGCAAGAGGGGTGAGGCCCAAGAGAGGAAATCGAGCAAATTATTTGAAATCCATCTTTATTTGAAGGAATCGCTCAAATCTGTCCAAACAAATTTGGTCACCCTTGGGTGAAATGGAATCAGATTTGTATAAACGGTGGGTCATTGATCTAGAGGTGAAAGGACCAAGGCCAGATAGGTGATTTGAAGCAAATTATTGAAAACTTTACGTCTTCAGTAGGAATGTCAGGATTCTGTCCAAATTTAGCCTGAACCATCCTAGGGTAAAAGGCAATCTATTTTATAAACAGTGGGTCTGGGCCCCTTTGGGTTGGAGGGAAGGGCTCCAAATGAAGAAATAAAGCATTTAAAAAAATCCTTTTGCTTCAGAAGGAATCCAAGGATTGTCTCCGAGTTTGGTCTGAAGTGTCCATAAGTGACGCAGATTAACAGTGTGTCTCAGCTTTATGGAGCATGAGGGGCAGGGCCCAATATGGAAATGTAGAAAATTTATTCGGATCCTTGTAGAAATGACTTGACGCTGTCCAGATTACTTCTGGAGCATACCTACTTGAAAAGAACCCAATTTTGTATAAAATAGAAGTCTGACACCAGAGATGTAGTATCCAAGAGGGGATGTTTAAGTTCTTAAAAATCCTTTCATTAAAGGTTATTGTTCAAGTTTGTTTTTTTTTTTCTCTCTCTCGTAAAAAATGAACTTTTCTTCAGCCACAAAGTCAAGGCTCAATTGGGAAATCATATCAGAATTTTTTTATGTGACTGAATAACTGAAATAACCAGGTGAGTGGTACAGGCCCCATGGGCCTCTTGTTTGTAGGTTGGCTTCCCTTTTCTTACGCAATGGTGCTCGTCCACTTTGAAAGGATAAGATGGATTTTTTTTCAAATTTTGTATGAATTTTATTCATTATTCATGAATGTTTGAATTTGAGATTGATCAAACAAAATGACCATCTGGCAGCCATCTTTAATTTAAGCAATTAAAAGTTTTTAATCGCTATTTTGTTTTGCAAAGTACTTGAAACATTGTTGTTCAAACTGATTTGTAAGTTCCCCTTGGTCTTCAGTTTTGATGAAATGGATATGATTTAGATTTCATACTTAGGTTTCTGTTGTGTATGATTCACCCCTCAATAAATCTATTAAAGGCAGGTAAAAGAAAGAAAAAATCCAAAGAACCAATTAAATCTCATTTGAGGCTGGGAGCTAAGATTCCTCTGTTATCTTGTAATTGTTTCATTGTAAGCTAGTGCTACATTTCAGTTATATGACTGTGACTTTTATTTCATTACAGAGTCAAGTATATGAAGAACTGGAAGAATTCAACACATTTTTATGAAATTTTCAAAAGTTTAACTGGATGAGATGGAAAAGAATGACAAGAGTCAAAATGTCAACTTCTGTCGTTTGGTGCTGTATCTGTTCAGCACGGGGTGTGAGGTACTGGAACAGGTGATCTTGGATGAAGTGTTTAATATTCTGCTTGCAGACCAAAGAAACTGTCTTGAACGAGCTCAATCTGAAGGCGGATTGAGTTCCTCTTTTCCATTTGAAAAGCTTTTTCCTACAAATGGACATGTACCGAGGATTGATGAATTTGATGCACAGGTCATTGGGAAGGTTTTTCACTTGTCTCCTGATCAAAAAGAGATATGTGAGTACCTTAGAACAAGCGGATTACAACAAGTTCTCTCATCGCGCAGGGACAAGATGTATCGATATCGGAAAAACATTGGAGAAGAAAATTGGGATAAAATTGATACAAGAAAAATACAGGTTGATTTAAAAGAATTAGATGTGTCACTTTTGATATTTGTTTTTCGCAATATGAGAGATCGCCCCGGAAAGGCATGGAACATTATGCCTACAAAGGATGAAACTTCGATTGAAGATGATGTTTGTCGTATTCTCATATATCGAAACTTTCTAGCACATTACCGCACAAAAAGACCAATTAAAAACAAAAATTTTGAAACCATTTGGAAGGATTTGACACGTTCATTCAAACGGCTTAGTAGAGATCCAGAGAGAATGGAACAAACTTCAATCAAAATGAAAACTAACCTAATAGATGAAAGATTTGAAAAAAAAGTTGATGAATGGATAGTCGATGCGTCCAAAAATGTAGAAAAAATAATAAGACATATTTCCATGACCCAGGAAGATTTATGTGATCGTGTCGTTTGTCAGGTTTCGGACATTGTGAAAAAAGGCACTCGTAAGAATAGAAGACTTAACAAAACCCTTACAAGAAACATCAGTAAACGTACAAAAGACTGTATTGAAAATGTAGTTGAACAGCTGAAAAATGAAAGATCAGAGATTTTGCAAGATTCCAGGGCTGCTTGGGAAATGCAGCTGAAAGAGACTACAAAAACAACAAGGGTGGAGTTAGAAGATCTCATAGTCAACAGTCTAAAGAGTGTGGGTAATGCCATACAGACCAGCATATCTGATGCTGTTAAAAACGGAATGGAGGAGATGTCAACAGCACATTCACAGGCTCTTCAGCAGGAGGTTGGGACAACCATAATCAACAGTTTTGTTACGGCAGTGCATGACATTGAAAAAAGAGTTGATCATTTAGTCCAAGACAGAACTGTTAAAAATATAGAGAGGCTACTGGAAGAACACCTGGAAAAAATTACGAACTTTATAATCTCGACAGTGAAAGAAGAGGTGATAAGTTCAAACAAGTCGGATATACTCGAACAAATTGTCAGATACACAGCTGTTGAAATCAAGAAAATGGCAGAGGAGGAAAACAGAAAAAATTATGGTAGAGTGTCATGGTGCTTTTCATGCTTAAGATACTGCTTTAAAAGATGCTTGTTCTAATTGTGTGCGTAAATTTATCATTGCGTTGATTTATCCAAAATTGTGCTTTTCATGCTTAAATGTTGACAAGGATAGGAAATGGAAGAATACAGGGCTCTCGATCTGCCAGATTTGGGGCCAATATTCGGCCCCATTCCCAATGCAAAATAGTATCTTTTTTTCCCCAATTTAGACCCTAAGTTCTCCCAATTCTAAGGAAAACACCATTATTTTTCCCAATTCTAAGGGCCCCGGGCCCCGGGCCCCAGTCCCAAAATGGGGTGTGAGAGCCCTGGAATATATCCTCATTTAATCGATTATACTATGAAACATATTCAACATGTCTAGGATGTTTCAGGATATGAGGATGATGTGATTTATACTTGTATTTATAATCAATGTTGCACTAATATGTCTTTGGTATAAGTTTCAGTATATGGGACTATATACTACAATTTACAATGATTCATTCTGTACAGGAATTCAAATAGATGTCTCCCAAGTGATCTATTTCAGCAATGTATCCAAAAGCATTTACCAAATGACAACAGAACATATTTTTTTGTCAGATATGAATAATTTGCCATCAAATCCTTATTATCATCATTATTCTGTTTTAAAAATCTCATCAATTCACTCTATGACACGAAAATGTAAATATTCTCAAAGAAACACGAGCCACATCCCTCATTGCAATTTGATTGTTAGCTGTGTCACTTCTGTATTATACATCATTGTTAGCTGTGTCACTTCTGTATTATATACTCAACAAAAAAAGAAAGGTTAACATGTTTCCTTGGCGAATACCTGTAAATGAGTGAAAACAAAATGACGTTTGTGCAACATTAGAAAATGGTAATGTTTTACATTACAAAATCCAAGGGGGTTACCAAAATCATTCAAGCGTGAAAGTCTGTATTAGCGAAAGATCTGCACGAGGTTTTCTGCAGCTAAATTGTATCTTCGCTTGAATTGCATAAACATTCAAACTGACAACTGTTCCTTAGATCCTTAAGACTTAGAAATCACCAAATCTTGCTATCCATCAACTTTATCATTATGCCCCGGCTGTCACAAGTACAGAGAGAAAGGGCTGTAGGCATGATCCAGGTTGGGGAGTCTCGCCGTCGAGTTGCACGGCATTTTGGTTGCAGTGTTAAGACAATTTGCCAGTTGGTAAGTCGTTTAAACCAAACTGGGTTAACATCCAATCGTCCCCGAAGCGGCCGACCCCATAAAACGACAGCCAGGGATGACCGTCGTATACGATTGATACACTTGCGCAATCGATTCGTAACTGCAGTAGAGACTACAAGGACATTGTTTGGGCATCGTGTGCCTCCCCAAACAGTCTGCAACAGGTTAAGGACCTACCAATTGAAAGCGCGGCGTCCCTACACTGGACCCAATTTGTTGCGACATCACCGTAATAATCGGCAGCAGAATAACGTACAGGTGCTAGATTGGCCATCTAAATCACCTGATTTGTCACCGATTGAGCATGTATGGGACGTTCTTGGGCGACGCCTGAGAGAACGTCAAAATCAGCCGTCAAACTTGCAGGAGCTTGCCCAAGCCTTGATCGCTGAATGGAACAACATCTCTCTTCGAATTATCCGCTGGTTTACGAGTTCCATGCGATGACGCTGCAATGCTGTTTACTTCGCAAACGGTGGCCATACCCGTTACTAATGGTGTTACCTTTGAAATTGACCCCAACGTCCTTTACAGTCGAATAAAATCAACTGAACGCAAAGTTTTATAATGAGCCATGACTGCAGTTTTATCAGAATTGATCAATTACTTTATTCGTACAAGATTGGTAAAGATTTATGCAGGGGTTAATTAATTAATTGCAGAATAAAGTAGTGTTACCTTTCTTTTTTTGTTTAGTATACATTATTGTGAGCTGTGTCACTTCTGTATTATACATCATTGTTAGCTGTGTCACTTCTGTATTATACATCATTGTGGGCTGTGTCACTCCTGTATTATACATCATTGTTATCTGTGTCACTTCTGTATTATACATCATTGTGGGCTGTGTCACTTCTGTATTATACATCATTGTTAGCTGTGTCACTTCTGTATTATACATTATTGTGGGCTGTGTCACTCCTGTATTATACATCATTGTTATCTGTGTCACTTCTGTATTATACATCATTGTGGGCTGTGTCACTTCTGTATTATACATCATTGTTAGCTGTGTCACTTCTGTATTATACATCATTGTGGGCTGTGTCACTCCTGTATTATACATCATTGTTATCTGTGTCACTTCTGTATTATACATCATTGTGGGCTGTGTCACTTCTGTATTATACATCATTGTTAGCTGTGTCACTTCTGTATTATACATCATTGTTAGCTGTGTCACTTCTGTATTATACATCATTGTTATCTGTGTCACTTCTGTATTATACATCATTGTTAGCTGTGTCACTCCTGTATTATACATCATTGTTATCTGTGTCACTTCTGTATTATACATCATTGTGGGCTGTGTCACTTCTGTATGATATATCATTGTTATCTGTGTCACTTCTGTATTATACATCATTGTTATCTGTGTCACTTCTGTATTATACATCATTGTGGGCTGTGTCACTTCTGTATTATACATCATTGTGGGCTGTGTCACTTCTGTATTATACATCATTGTGGGCTGTGTCACTTCTGTATTATACATCATTGTTATCTGTGTCACTTCTGTATTATACATCATTGTTATCTGTGTCACTTCTGTATTATACATCATTGTGGGCTGTGTCACTTCTGTATTATACATCATTGTTATCTGTGTCACTTCTGTATTATACATCATTGTTATCTGTGTCACTTCTGTATTATACATCATTGTGAGCTGTGTCACTTCTGTATTATACATCATTGTTAGCTGTGTCACTTCTGTATTATACATCATTGTGGGCTGTGTCACTTCTGTATGATATATCATTTTTAGCTGTGTCACTTCTGTATTATACATCATTGTTATCTGTGTCACTTCTGTATGATATATCATTGTTAGCTGTGTCACTTCTGTATTATACATCATTGTGAGCTGTGTCACTTCTGTATTATACATCATTGTTATCTGTGTCACTTCTGTATTATACATCATTGTTATCTGTGTCACTTCTGTATGATATATCATTGTTAGCTGTGTCACTTCTGTATTATACATCATTGTTAGCTGTGTCACTTCTGTATTATCTGTGTCACTTCTATATGATATATCATTGTTAGCTGTGTCACTTCTGTATTATACATCATTGTTATCTGTGTCACTTCTGTATTATACATCATTGTTAGCTGTGTCACTTCTGTATGATATATCATTGTTATCTGTGTCACTTCTGTATTATACATCATTGTTATCTGTGTCACTTCTGTATTATACATCATTGTTAGCTGTGTCACTTCTGTATGATATATCATTGTTAGCTGTGTCACTTCTGTATTATACATCATTGTTAGCTGTGTCACTTCTGTATTATACATCATTGTTATCTGTGTCACTTCTGTATTATACATCATTGTTATCTGTGTCACTTCTGTATGATATATCATTGTTAACTGTGTCACTTCTATATGATATATCATTGTTAGCTGTGTCACTTCTGTATGATATATCATTGTTAGCTGTGTCACTTCTGTATTATACATCATTGTTATCTGTGTCACTTCTGTATTATACATCATTGTTATCTGTGTCACTTCTGTATTATACATCATTGTTATCTGTGTCACTTCTGTATGATATATCATTGTTAACTGTGTCACTTCTATATGATATATCATTGTTAGCTGTGTCACTTCTGTATGATATATCATTGTTAGCTGTGTCACTTCTGTATTATACATCATTGTTATCTGTGTCACTTCTGTATGATATATCATTGTTATCTGTGTCACTTCTGTATTATACATCATTGTGGGCTGTGTCACTTCTGTATGATATATCATTTTTAGCTGTGTCACTCCTGTATCATACATCATTGTGGGCTGTGTCACTTCTGTATGATATATCATTTTTAGCTGTGTCACTCCTGTATTATACATCATTGTGGGCTGTGTCACTTCTGTATTATACATCATTGTGGGCTGTGTCACTTCTGTATGATATATCATTGTTATCTGTGTCACTTCTGTATTATACATCATTGTTAGCTGTGTCACTTCTCTATGATATATCATTGTTATCTGTGTCACTTCTGTATTATACATCATTGTTAGCTGTGTCACTTCTGTATTATACATCATTGTGGGCTGTGTCACTTCTGTATTATACATCATTGTTATCTGTGTCACTTCTGTATTATATATCATTGTTATCTGTGTCACTTCTGTATTATACATCATTGTGGGCTGTGTCACTTCTGTATTATACATCATTGTTATCTGTGTCACTTCTGTATGATATATCATTGTTATCTGTGTCACTTCTGTATGATATATCATTGTCAGCTGTGTCACTTCTGTATGATATATCATTGTTATCTGTGTCACTTCTGTATTATACATAATTGTTAGCTGTGTCACTTCTGTATTATACATCATTGTGAGCTGTGTCACTTCTGTATGATATATCATTGTGAGCTGTGTCACTTCTGTATGATATATCATTGTGGGCTGTGTCACTTCTGTATGATATATCATTGTGGGCTGTGTCACTTCTGTATGATATATCATTGTTATCTGTGTCACTTCTGTATGATATATCATTGTTAGCTGTGTCACTTCTGTATCATACATCATTGTGGGCTGTGTCACTTCTGTATGATATATCATTGTTAGCTGTGTCACTTCTGTATTATACATCATTGTGGGCTGTGTCACTTCTGTATGATATATCATTGTGGGCTGTGTCACTTCTGTATGATATATCATTGTTAGCTGTGTCACTTCTGTATTATACATCATTGTGGGCTGTGTCACTTCTGTATGATATATCATTGTGGGCTGTGTCACTTCTGTATGATATATCATTGTGGGCTGTGTCACTTCTGTATGATATATCATTGTTATCTGTGTCACTTCTGTATGATATATCATTGTTAGCTGTGTCACTTCTGTATCATACATCATTGTGGGCTGTGTCACTTCTGTATGATATATCATTGTTAGCTGTGTCACTTCTGTATTATACATCATTGTGGGCTGTGTCACTTCTGTATGATATGTCATTGTGAGCTGTGTCACTTCTGTATGATATATCATTGTTATCTGTGTCACTTCTGTATTATACATCATTGTTATCTGTGTCACTTCTGTATTATACATCATTGTGAGCTGTGTCACTTCTGTATGATATATCATTGTTAGCTGTGTCACTTCTGTATTATGCATCATTGTTAGCTACATCACGTCTTTATTTACCTAACTTGGTGTAGGTCAATTTGCCTTCATAGGTGTATAAATCTAATTGATTGCTGGAAATTCAACTTTCCTAGACCGACTCAGTAATACCAACTTACTACTTTGTTAAATTATCAGGTTTTTACATTTTTCTGATCAATTACCTGTTCTTTTCAGACTCTTCCATTGAACAGAATGTTCCAGGATCACCAAGCAATAAAACGGACAAACCACCACCGGTTGTAAAACCCACAGGTGAGAATAAGAATAATATTATTTATTATTTTACCTTTGTGTCTAAATATCAAACTGACTGATGTATACATTGATTCCCATATGTCTTCAGGTTAGTTGCCTATTTACCTGTGAGGGCCATTATATCTGCTTAGGAGTTTTTTTATTGGCAGAAGCATCCTTACTGTCAGCTGATTGACAATATTTTTAGACTCACTCTCCACTCACTCTCCAGAGAAAATAAAATAAAAAATGTAAAAAAATCAGCGATACTTACTTACCATAAGCAGTCCAAGGAAACCATCCTCATTTTCACACCCTACATACTGTCCTTATCTCCATCTTCAGTGATGAATTTTCTGCGGGCTTTTCATGATGTATTATTCAACAAAGTGGACATAATTCTTGAAAATCCTCAGCATATTTTAGCAAATTTAATAAATCTGACCCCAAAAACATACCTGCGCACTATACCTGAATGCGCGCTATACCTGCAAATTTTTAAGTCAACTGAGACAAAGTGTCATGGTGACTTATTGCGATCATGCATTCTGCATCCAAAAGCCTTTTAACATTTCTGACTTCTTCCTCAAAGATGTTTAAAACTGATTTCAATGAAATTTGGCAGAAACCTTTCCTAGCCTAAGATGAACCTAAATCATGAATTATACAGTCCCCACCCTCCAGGGCCTCAGGGATGGGATCAAAGGGGGTCCAATTGACTCAAATTTCAAATATTTTCTCAACACTCCGATACAGTAGAATTTATTGTTATTTATGGATGGAAGTATGTTAAGGTGCTTTACCAAAATTGTGAATTTCATGGTGCCAGGGTCTCACATTTCCCTGTATGATAGTTTATTTAGGAAAATGAGATTTTTGAGAGCAATTTGTTTAATTTTCAATGGAAATACTGCAAACTTGGGCAGAATTATGAGCGAAGATGATTGTATGCCCATATTGATCTTAGATGACCCCAGGGATTGATGGGCATGGTCAAAAGGGATCAAATTGATTCAAATGAAAAAATCTTCTTTTCAAAACACAGATAGAGTAGAATTGAACACTCTCTGTGATTGGAAGGGTCATTACGTGCTTTGCTGAAAGTGTGAATTTCATAGCCCAAAGGTCTCGCATTTCTCCCAGGGGAGGAGGTGAAGTTTACTATATTTTTTGTAGAAAAATAGCATTTATGAGCATAACATTGTTTATTTTCCATTTGAAATAACTTGGTAAGAATTATTAGTAGAGGATGATAATTTTGATGTTATGCATATATTGACACTGGCTCAGACCTCTAAGGGCTTATAACATATCACTTAAAACTTACCATCATCAGAGTCATAATTTCTTTTTCGTGACTCTTGAAAGCTAACTACCCTATAACCTTTATTTTCAACATTACTTATCTCAGGTGACCATCAAGGCAACTAGGCTGGTTTCCCATGATGTATCATTTGACAAAGTTTGCGTAATTCTGGCAAATCTTTACCATAGGTTGTTACGTTTGGATAAATCTTCACCATAGGTTGTTACGTTTGGATAAATCTTCACCATAGGTTGTTACGTTTGGATAAATCTTCACCATAGGTTGTTACGTTTGGATAAATCTTCACCATAGGTTGTTACTTTTGGATAAACACATTTTTATAGATTGTTTTCCAATGATGTCTTATTTATGTATTTTTCATTTTGATTTATAATTGTAATCTTATAATGATTTTCTCATGAGTTTTGGTAACTTTATAGGATGGCCTTATTCAATTCAATTAATTGTCAAGTTTTATGTGGAGTATGCTTAAATATGAATTGCATAAAATTTGTCCTCTTGGTGTTACCAGGTTACAGAATTGTGATTATTACTTTTTATTCAGCATCATCATTTTCTGCACTAAGTTTGTGTTTAGAAATAAACCCACTCATAGAATGATACTGTTGATTATTAAAACAAATACTTTTTGATTGTCCTGTAAGAAAACCACCCCAGACTTTCAGTTATATCATAAGTTATATTGTAGCATATTTTACAATTACTGCACTATAATTAGGCCGAGGTCAATATGTCTTTTTGTACTCATTAAATTCTCATATTGAACCAATGATAGTGCAGTAATTGTTTTATTACATTTCATTTTTGTTTGTTTTTTATTTGTTGAAAGAGATGTGTGATGTAAATAGAAATTCCCTTTTATTAGAAATAGAACAAAGTGGTTTACAGTGCAATATCAGTAAAAATCGTAGAACATGTGACCATGTCTCGACAAATGAAAATGCAGTATAAAAACAAAGCTATAATAATGTCTGATATCACATTCTTAATGTAGACATTTGATCTTACAGATTTAATGACTGTTGTGGTCGATACTTGGTATATAGATGAAAGGGATTTCTGCCAAACATCTGCGGCTGAGACTGTAGTTAAGTACCTAGAAACCAATAAGGTTGTGACAATCATTGGTCCTCCACTGTCTGGTAAAACTATGGTTGGCAGACATGCAGCTCTGCATACAAGATCTAAAAACTATGCTGTTTTTCCAATATCTGACCCAAATGAAATGAAAGACTTCCTATCCAAGGAAGGGAAACAGGTATTCGTCATTGATGATCCATTAGGGAAGAATTCTGTTGATCTAGAAAAACTGGAAGAATGGAACATTTTTAATGAAAACTTGCAAAAGTTTGTTCAAAATGTTGATGTGAAAATAATATGGATAATGAACAAAGAACAAGTCTCTGATACAGCACAACTGATGTTTTATGAACATAAGGTTGACATCACAACTCCAGGGTTATCAGGTGACGAACGCAGAAGAATATTTTTGAAATATCAGGCAAGAATTTGCCTTGAAAATGAAGGCGAATACGGAGGATTACTTGACATCGCTACCCGTTGCAATTACTTCTTCTTTCCCAGTATTTGCGAGACATTCACAAAGTATTTAAAATGGCAGCACACTCCAGGAAACCTTTTCTTGTTTCCATTTGAGGTTTTGGTAGATTATTTTGACAATCTTCCTCGGAGCAGCAACCAGTATTCTGCTCTGGGCCTGTGTGCAGTTTTCAAACAATTACCATTCAATCCTCAATCATTGCAAAGTTTAGTCAGTAAAGAGTACTTTGGCTTGAAGTGTTCAGATGTTGCTGGAATCACTTCAGTGTTGAAGACCATGATAGGCATATGGATCAAAAAGAGAGGGAAGCACTTTGAGTTTGCAAATGAGATTTATCGGGATGCCTTTTTGTTCGTGATGGGAAAGAACTCACTGGATCCTTTTATACTGATAAGGAAAATGTCCAGTTGGGGTATACGCAACAGGGTGAGGTATGACCAAGATTACCTGGACCAACTACCTGATAGATATGTGATCAGTCTGGAAAAGGAAAATTGGATTGACTTATCATTACGCATATGCCATGATCTGATCAACATGCAATGCCAAGATTGTCAGAATTGGAGAGATCTGCAAACTGAAGACTCATCGAGAGAACAATATCAAACAGGTGTCCTGCAACTTCTTACAAATTGGTTGGAGTGTGACAAGCTCAAAGATAATGACCTGCTGGCCATTCTTAAACTGTCTCTCCAAACAGAAAATGCAGATATTTTGGACATCTTGCTCGAGAAAAAACAGGAAATCATCAACACCCCTTTCAATGAATCACCTGAAAACAATGCCATGAAAATTGTTGGTTTTAGTCCTCTACATTTTGCAATCTGGAGAGGAAGTCACTGGGGCGTGGAACTTCTACTGAAGTACGAAGGAGTGAACATTGACATCTTGTTAAATGGTATGACGCCTCTTGGCCTTGCAATTAAGAATGGAAATTTGGAACTTGTCTCACAACTCATAAAATATGGTGCAAATCTAAACACACCATCATATGAAGGTCTCTATCCAGTGCATTTTGCAATTGAGTTGAATAATATTGAGATAGTTGAAAGACTTGTGAAGGCTGGAGCAGATATGGAGAAAACTACAGCGAATGGATTGCCACCATTACACTTCGCCATACTCAACAGCAAAACAGAAATAGTAAAGAAACTTACTGAACTTCAGGTAGATGTCAATGCTTGTAATGAAGATGGTGAACCTCCTCTAATTTTTGCTCTTGGGCAAACTGAGCCTGACCTGCACATGATAAAGATTTTGGTCAATCATCCAGGCATCAACATCTCCAGTGAAAATGACCACCCATTATATCATGCTGTTATATCCGGGAATATTCCTTTGGTGAACATTTTGCTTCAGTCGAAGAAAATGAAAGTGAACTGCAGTGATGAAGCAAACACCACTCCACTCCACATCTCTGTGAGAAACAACTGCATGGAAATTGCATCCATGTTACTGACGGAAAATGCTGATCCAAAGTTGAAAGACATTAATGGAAACACGCCGCTGGAGATTGCAGAAAAACATGGGGATGCACGCATGATCGCTCTCATCAAATGTTCAATGAAATAGTCCACATCGCGTTGTATTTTGTTTACGCTGAAGATTGTACAAAAGAAACGCAAGTGATAAGTTACTTTTACCACTGCAGAATTTCAAATGACAGAACTGCATGTTAACTGGATTTCCTAGCTTCTTGATATAACAAAGATGGCCGTCATCAACACACACTTTATCAGGCCTTTTTTTCATTTGTTTGGGATGGGTCATTTTTGTCACATTTTAGGATGACAAATGATGAATTAAGAAGTAAATTTTCAAGAGCAAATTACAAAAAATTGTGAATTTGGCTTGAATTACATCTATTCATTTTAGAATGGGGCCCATTATCAACCCAAAAGATCAGTAAAATGTTTACACTTGTGTAAGTTGTATTCAGACATAAATGGATAATGGTCTTGTAGTTAGATTACATAACAGTGATGCAGAAAATGTTTCTTATATTAGTTTTACTATTGGTTATCAGTAATAATCTATTGCAAGTGCAAGAAAACCGAAAAGGAAACCCGACAACGAACCACGTAAGGGAGTAGTGGTTTAAGAAGATAGAGAACTTTTTGTATCCAATTGTCCATGTCAAGGGAGGCAACTGATGGAGACTTGAATCACATGAGGTAAACACAATTCAAAAGAAAGATTGTTTCAATTTCTGAGGGTTGTAAAGAACCTACTAAATAAGACAGTTTGTTAAAGTGAATTACTTTATATATGATTCAGCTCTGTTACTGCCCATTATTTTAAAAAATTTATATAGATGAAGACATATCATTGTGAAATGCTTTCAGACACCAGGCGCAATAGAATAGATGACTGGACAACATCTGTCAGTAGATCTCAACTGGATTTATTGAGAGTTAACATGTTTCAATATACTAAGTATATCATTGTCAGAACAATGAAATAATTATTCAAAACACATGATTTATATAGTCACTGCTTAGCAACTACATGTTGTTTACAAATGATGTCATAGATACATGTGCTGCACAGATAATGACGAGGTAATACAACTGATACCAATCACTCATGATACATTTATCTTGTGTGGGATTACTCTGTGTTTACATAGCAGCTAGTAATGTTAACAGAGAGTATAAAATAGAGAATTACTATTTGAATTTTTTATAAAATAGATTAGTAGTAAATAGCAGATAAATGCCAATTTCTATGCCTATCATACGTCTTTAACATTAGTTTATAGAAGTCAAGTGACAACATAGAACAAGTGATAAAAATTATTAAGGTAAATTTTTGGAGAAACTTTCTATGCATGTATATATATTCATGCTGGCTGTACAGTGGTAGTTACAGATAACAAGGTAAAAGTAAGCATGATTGTCCTCAGTGTTACTGATGAATTACAAAAGCTATAAGAGGTATCAGTATGAGAGTTTATAGGTAGATAGATCTCAGCAAGGAAAAGTGCAATGCACCAGAACAATCACTCTCTTTTGCATAATTTAGGATAATTACCCTTTATTTTTTATACTTAAATTTTGTCATCAAACTTTATAGGTAGATAGATATGAATAAGGAGGGCATTGCAATTTACATGTACATGTTTATAAATGTTCAGTTGATTGGCAGCTATGTATATTTGTTAAGAATTGAATTTTTTGTGTAATCTTTCATACCGTTACAATATTTGTACCTTTTTTTTTACTTATCTAGTCAAAATAACTTGAGATATTTTATTTAAGTGGTTGACTTTCTTATATAAAATATTATTTTCTCCTGATCAAGGAATTTGATCTTCTAAAGACTTTATAGACATGTTTAATTATGAGTCCTACATGTCAATCTTATTAATTCATCTACAAGTATATCTGTTTCATTTTGGCTGTATTCATATTTTGCTGTTTTCCCGATTTGGACTTGTTCACATAGTACTTCACATGCATTTATATCTCACACAGTAAATCCCAAAGTGTGGGCTCCAATAGGCCACGTGAAAAGCACAATAACCAGAAGCAATGGTCCAATTGATAGGATGGTGGGCAGAGCAACAACCAGGACACATGAGATAGTGGAAGCTCAAATAGGACACCTGTGGTAACAGTGATAGATAATAGGAAAAATTACCTCATAAACAAAGTGAACTTGTACAGACAAAGTGAACTTGTACAGAATTAATCACTTCATAAACAAAGTGAACTTGTACAGAATTAATCAACTTCATAAACAAAATGAACTTGTACAGAATTAATCAACTTCATAAACAAAATGAACTTGTACAGAATTAATCAACTTCATAAACAAAATGAACTTGTACAGAATTAATCAACTTCATAAACAAAGTGAACTTGTACAGAATTAATCAACTTCATAAACAAAGTGAACTTGTACAGAATTAATCAACTTCATAAACAAAGTGAACTTGTACAGAATTAATCAACTTCATAAACAAAGTGAACTTGTACAGAATTAATCAACTTCATAAACAAAGTGAACTTGTACAGAATTAATCAACTTCATAAACAAAGTGAACTTGTACAGAATTAATCAACTTCATAAACAAAGTGAACTTGTACAGAATTAATCAACTTCATAAACAAAGTGAACTTGTACAGAATTAATCAACTTCTTCAACAAAGTGAACTTGTACAGAATTAATCAATTTCTTCAACAAAATGAATTTGTACAGAATTAATCAACTTCATAAACAAAGTGAACTTGTACAGAATTAATCAACTTCATAAACAAAGTGAACTTGTACAGAATTAATCAATTTCTTCAACAAAATGAATTTGTACAGAATTAATCAACTTCATAAACAAAGTGAACTTGTACAGCATTAATCAATTTCTTCAACAAAGTGAATTTGTACAGAATTAATCAACTTCATAAACAAAGTGAACTTGTACAGAATTAATCATCTTCATCAACAAAATGAACTTGTACAGAATTAATCAAGGGAAAGGACAAATAGGCATTATTAAAGACAGAAAGTGTCAAATTATTTTGGAATAATATGGTATGGAAATTATTAAAGATGTCAGTTTGGTTCTAGATCACTGGAAATGAGACTAAGAGAGCTTATATACCCACATGTTTAAAGGAAGATGACAACTGCTATAAAGTCAAATCTTAAATATTGCACTAAATGTCTTATTTCCTGGATATATAATGATATTTTAACTATGATAATGTTTTGAAAATCGGCTCTGGCAGAGCAATATAAAGTCTTTAAGATTTTTATATTTATTTTTTTGAACTAAGCAATTGATGTATGTATATATATTGTGTGACACTTTAACAAATTGCTTAATTCATTAATTCATTTCCCACATATCTGTAAACTGGGTCCATGTATACAAGCATAACAAATATTTTGTGAGATTTTCATTCACTGTCATTTATTGCTATGGCCTTTCAGAAAAAATTTACCGATCCTGGCCTTCTCATTGGCTGAAATATCGAAAAGAGTTAGAGCCTCTAGCGGCAATTTTCTGCGTATATAATGCTGCGATCTTTCAAATCGCTATTTTAAAAGCATCCATAATTAGTTTTTTTATGTAATAACAATACGATTACTATATATTTCAAAAAAGAAGCACAGTGTGGTTGAACTATTGATAAATTTTGAACAATATATTTTACGGAATTCTCGACGTGACGTAAGCGTACAGAACACTGTACGTGCGAGTTGATAAGAAGCTAGTCTGGGGGCTTGGTTTGAATTATCAACTAACAGCACTTATAAACAAACAAAACTTACAAACAGAACATCAGTTTTGTTTTAATCCTTGTCGTTGTGGCAAGATCGTCTTAATATATAACATCACTTTACCTCAGTAGACGTCACCGAATTGGACTGCTCGTCCCACACGCACACCCGCCGATATGACACTTTTTTCAGGTTTTTCACACCCACCGCCATGACACTTTTTCAAGTTTTTGAAGATAAAAAGTTTGCGCCTAGTAGGCAAGGTACATTTGGTGCTCATGATTTATGAATAATATATTTTTAATACTGTACTGATCATGATGTTGACTCTGTCATAACTTATATTTTTTGTCTTTTAGTTTTATTTGATGAAGGTTGATTGTGCTGATTTCTCAAGGTTTGTTAATGTGTATCAAAGTTCCTCGAATTGAAAATATTTCTTCAAACAAAGCGCGTATAAAAAAAACCCAAAATATTCATGTTTATAATTATCAATTAACTAGAACGAAATATTTCCATAACATATTTATTCATTTAGCGTGTCATGGTGACATTATCTAAGGCACTGGAGATCAGAAATAGTAGTAGCTATAGTGAAAATATTGTAAATTTTGTATATATATGGAAGTCTGGTTTAATCTCAAAGAACTATGTCTTTATAGACATAATTACTGCAAGAAAAGTCTAACCATGATACTTCTAGGAAGATAAGCATTTAAACACATTTAATGTAATTACTTACACTTTTATCTATGTGAAATGCTGTGTACACCTTATCTACTTTCCTCAACTACAAATATAACTACAATAAGTAAGGACTATTACTTTGCAATACATTCAAAATAAAGAAGTAGGTATAAAGTCCTTTCGATTTGTCTAAATCCTCATATTGATAGGATAGTAATTGCAACATCTTGGATATTTCAAAGGTTTTATTTAGTCAACTTTATCATAGAGCTATTAATCATTTGGCTTGTTGGCGATAAATATATGGTTGTGTGTATTTTGTTATTTTTTTTACCTATTTTGGCTTGTTCACATTATTGTCGTCAAATTTGAAATAAGAATTAAAGAAGATATAAAATCACTTAAAATTAAGAAAAATAGCCTATAGTTCTCTTATTTTAGTAATGTTTGCATTCCAAAGTGTAGGAGAATGGGGAAAGTAATATAGCTTTGCGTTTATTTGTGAACATTTTGCAATACGTTTAGCCTTTCAGTACTTTCAGTACTTTGATTATTATTATTGTTATTTTATTATAATGGATTGACCTGAAATGTTTGTTCATTACTTAATGAAAATGATTTGAATGGGATTAATTATATAGCAATATACATTATATAG